TTCTTGGTATACAGATCCTTAGGGATAGAAAGTCTAGAATGTTAAGTCTAAATCAAGAAAGGTATTTGCATACGATACTTAGAAGGTTTGGGATGCAGAATTGTAATCCTGCGCCAACACCTTTGGTTATGGGAAAGCGGTTGTGTAAAGAACAATGTCCTGGAGAAGGGCAGAAACCGCTTAGTGTCCCGTATGCACAAGCTGTTGGAAGCTTGATGTATGCAATGTTGTGTACTAGACCAGACCTGGCATATCCGGTGAGTTTGGTTAGTAGATATCAAAGTAATCCTGGTCCAGCACATTGGGAGGCTGTTAAGAGGATTTTGAAGTACCTGAAAGGTACTGTGCACCATAAGTTAGTTTATCAAGCAGATTCGCTTGAGGTTCTTGGTTACTCTGATGCTGATTTCGGAGGAGACAAAGATGACGGGAAGTCCACTTCCGGACATTTGTTCATCTTTGGTGGTGCAGCTGTTTCTTGGGGTAGTAAGAAACAGGGATGTGTGGCAAGATACACACAAGAAGCTGAGTACATAGCCTGTAGTATGGCCACTACTCATGCAGTCTGGATAAGACGGTTCCTAAAGGACTTGGATCTCAATTTGGTGGATGGACCAATTGAGATATACTGTGATAATCAAGCAGCCATCAGCTTGATCAACAGTGGTGCAAACAGTTCTAAAGGAAAACATATTGAGATACAATATCATTATATTCGTGATATTGTGGAAAAGGAAGAAGTCTGTGTGACTTATATTCCTACTAGTGATATGATTGCTGATCCCTTGACGAAGGGTATCCCAGCAGGTACATTCATCAAACATGTTAGTTTGATGGGACTTAGAAATGTCTAAGTCAAGGAAACTTTCATGAAAAATGAAAGGAGACGATCATGGATAATGGTTGTACTCGGTTTATTCACGTAGAGTGAAAAATGTATATATCCCATGGATAGTGGGAGTATGAAATTACATCTTGAGTCACATCTCACGGATAGTGGGAGTGTATGCTCAGAAAATATTTGGCCATTTCGGCCAAGTGGGAGATGTAAGTGGATTTGGCCTCATGGGCCGAAATTATTACCCGACCGTTGTTTACGTGATCTGGCTGTTAGGGAATATCTCATATTCTATGGGATATTCTCTAATCAACAGCAAACGTTACGGAGAAATATGAGGAAAACGTAAATAACGGAGGAAAATCAGACAGGAATTTGGGGACGGAGAAGGGGATTAGAAAGCCTATATATAGAGAGGAATACCTCACCTCTGAATTATCTCAAAAGACAAATCTTCACCGGAGTCCCCAAATTAATCCCCATCTTTCTTTCAAATTCAGTAGTTGCATCACAACTTTCAAGCTAAATCTACATATATTTATACTTTCACATAAAAAGCTAAGAAACTCAAACAGTATATATGCGAACAAGGCAGAAATCATGGAAAAAGAAAAGAATCATTAGCTTCATCACCGACTTCAGCTTTTGGTTCCTGTTATTGGTACCAAGCTGTCTAGGCTTCTCTCATCAGAGACGTGAAACCCGACTTCAGCTTTTGGTTCCTGTTATTGGTACCAAGCTGTCTAGGCTTCTCTCATCAGAGACGTGAAAACCACATTTCTGCTCATTGAAGAAAGATTGGTACCAAGCTGTCTAGGCTTCTCTCATCAGAGACGTGAAAACCACATTTCTGCTCATTGAAGAAAGCCGAATCCCTCGCGAAACAAATGACAGGATCAAACACTTCACTCCTCGGATCATAATACTCCGACCCTGGAACTTCAACATGTATCTCGAGCAGAAGCTTTCCACCACGAAATGCAACAGGCAACACAAACATCGTTGGCTGCGACGGGTCAAAGCTAAAGGTCGGAACCCACACACGCATGCTCGACAAAGTCCGTTGAAAGCTCGTAGGTTATTTTCATCAACATCGCTAGAACGGTAGAAATATCGGGCTACTAATTTGTATGTGTTCAGACTTTCAACATAACCTGACCCAGCCGTATAACGCGGGGTGTCTCCTGCACAAGTATCGTTTGTTGTGTCTGCCTGCGGTTAAGGCTACCAACTCTTGAGCACTCGGATTGCATACAGCCAACTGGTTCTGAGTACGGAGCAACACCAACCCGTTGCAGCGCTGAGGAGGCAACAAATAGTTCTGCATTACAGAAAATTCTTCCCCAAACAAGAACCTCGGTTTTTTACTCCCTTCCTCATAAGTAGACATAGCGATTCCTCGATGTGTGTATGTGGGAGAAATAACTACGACTACGAACTGTGGATTTTCCCTCAACCGTTTCAGATGCCTGCGCAGCTATGAAGGTAGGAGAAGAGAGCAAAGCATGCCACGACTTGCACACGGATTTGCACCTTAGCATGCTCTTAACGGGAAGTCTGGTGAGAATCTCGAAAGCGATGAACTCGGTGAGAACATCACACTGCTCAGGCTCATGCTTCCACCTTTTGATCTGAGATTTCATCTCATTATGAATGATGCCCCTCTTCTTCCTAATACATGGCAACAGTAGAAGCATTATAATGTATCCAGCCATACCAATCCTTACTAACTAACAAGATGATAAATCAAGCGGAAGTAAGATCTGCTGAAATGAGAGAAGAAACTGTATAGCCAGCTAGTCCGGATATTCCTAATTCAACGAGGAGGAGGAGGATGAGATTTCTACAAGGAAAAAAAAAAATTCATACTACAACAACAAAACCTTATCCCAAAATTTTGGTGAATATTAATATAACTAATCTCAGTTCAATCCTAGTCAAATTTGTAATGTTGTTCTAATATGTTTCGGATACCTTATACCTGTGGGACTCTCAAAACACAATGTCATCCAGATAAACTAAACTACATACAAACTAAAGGAATTGAAAAGTTTCTCCAAATCAGAAGTACACGAAAAGAAGAGGAATTCATTAAGAAAGAGGTAAGCATGAGTTTGATAAGGGGGAAAAAATCTAGGCTAAGATCTTCCTAATTCAAGGGGAAGTAGTATCAGATTTATGGAACAAAAAAAAAAAAAAAACATATCATTAATCTAAATTATAATCCTACTCCAATTCGGATGCAGTTTTCATATGCATATGACTCCTACTATGACTGGTTTGAGATAAAAAATCCTAGTCTCCAACACACAAATATTGTCCCATCCTCATCGGATCTTTATACAGATACAAATCCGAAATCCCAGTAACCATTCACACTACATAAACCAACTGGTAAGATAAGGGTAAGCAATAAGACTCTAAGGCTCGAAACAAATTGAACCAAGTAGAGTCTCAAGGTCTTCATATTTGTATTCATTTAAAACTTTCGATCCGAATATTCTTTTCTGAAATTTTTCAATCCAAATTCCAACATGAATATTCTTCAAGCATTTATCGAATGGCTCTGATAATAGTTCAGTAATTTATAACAGAATATTGATATGAAGAAGAAGGTAATAGTAGCTCAAGAGTAAAGTTTATGCTGATTCACAAAAATCAGCTAAAGAATTTACAGAAAATATTACTCTAAAGAAGAAGAAAAATTGTATGTAAAAACTAAAGAGTATGGGAAACTCTGACATATAAAGCACATACATCACCTGCACAGCTGATAGTTGTAGATGGAGGCTTTAGATAGTCGAACATACTCGGTGAGAAAGTGAAGTGATCCACAATAAGAGGTCCATCTTCACCTGAAAACTAATATTCTGAGCTCATCAGAATAGCATTTTCTTTTCATGACACAAAGAGCAAATTTTCTTAAAATGATTTACTGACTCATCCCAGTGAAACGTATGCACCCAGTACCTATGGCAAAATAGGAAGAAAAAAAAAATCAGTATAAGTGGTGTAAATTTTGTAGTTGTTTTACTTTTCAATAAATATTAAGAGACCAACAACCTATGCTTGGTTGTTAACATAAATTCACGGACAACTTTGTCCTATAAAAGATGTGATTAAAATATGAAGATGGACTTGAAGTAGATCAGATGCTGAGTGGGGGAGCCCTTCCCGTTGAATGGCGTGAAGTTGATTAGGTTGAGCTTCGCCGGATACGGGATCGAATCCCACTCTTTCGGGTAAGATACGGAATGCCGTTCTTCTTCACTTCCCGAACAGACATCAGGGCGTCGATTTTTCTTTCGAGCTCCTTTATCTTTTCGGCCTCACCCATATCCAAAGATGTGATTAAAATATGAAGATGTATGCTCATGGGACATCTGAAAACTGGGTAGCTGAAAATTCTACACATTCGTCGAGTACATCAGAAAGTAAAACAAATGCAGAGGTTAAGGTTACCTGTAAGATATGTGTGAAGTTAACCAGTAAGAATAAACTCTCACAGTCGATCTAAATACAATTGTCCCTCCCATTAAACACCAAGACCTGGCGACACAATGATACGAACATACTATGTATACGACAATAGAGCATCAATCCAGACATCACCCTTAAATGAAAAAAAAAACGAATAAGGTATAACCTTAGGCAGTTTCTAACACATTCAGCAGCCTCTACAATAATAGTCTAGGAGTATACGGAGAAGGGAAAAGCCGAACCTTTGAGGGGTTCATAGACTACTGCCTTAAACAAGAGAGTATCAAAGGATGTCGCAACAACTCTCACAAACACTATTTTTCTAGTATCATAAATAGGAAACACAACTATTTGGTTCATAAATACTATATATAACTATCCATTGACTAAACACAAGTTTTGATCTAAGAAAATTAATTTCAAGAGGCGTAAATAGCGTATGTCAAGATACAAAGTTACGTTCTTTGCCATATGTTAATAAGGCAAAGGTGGTAGGAAAAGAAAAGAAATTACCAGCTCTATCTCTGGCTTCAGCTTTTGGGAATGATTGGCACCAAGCTTTCCACAAAATTCACTACTGCGAAGGGCGCGTTCTCGTGAAAGAAGTGATACCCACATTTCTGCTTATTGTAGAAAGCCAAATCCTCCGCTATGCAAACGACAGGATCAAACACTTAAATCCTCCGCTATGCAAACGACAGGATCAAACACTTTACTCTTAGGATCATAATACTCCAACCTATGAGCTTCATCGTGCATCTCGAGCAGAAGCTTTCCATGACGAAACGCGAGAGGCACCAGAAGTCTCGGGGGCTGCAGCAGATCGAAACTAAAGGTAGGAATCCACACGTGCTCAATAAAGTCCCTGGAAATCCACATTTTACATTTCCTCCTATCCTGTGACTGATGAACGAAGCACGGATTGCCTTCAAGATTCACGATGCTCATATTGTCATAGTCAATGGGACACTGGTAAGGGGGGTTGACCACTCTAAACTTTTCGACTCTGAGATTGAAGCAAAGTAAGGCTTTTGGAGGGCCATGATGGAGGCTGTTATCGATGATGAAATAGATAACTTCGCCCACAGACCGGGGACAAACACGGCTTCCAGTCGGATAGGGCGGGTCCTCGGCGATTCTCCACGAAGTATCGAATCCTAGAGTAAGGACTTCAAAGCCAAGGTCGATGGTATCTAAGTGATAATTGCGAGACCTGTAGATATACCGGGCTACCTTGTAAAGGTTTATACCTTCAACATAGCCTAAAGAAGTTGTTTATTTAAATCCCTTCATCCGAGCAACATCACCACGCTTGTCTGAAGGTAAGGCTACCAACTCTTTAGTACTGGGGTTGCACACAACCAGCCGCCTCGTGGTGTTGAGCAGCACCAGCCCGTTGCAGTGTTGAGGAGGAAACATATGCTCCTGGAATGAAACAAATTCTTGCCCGAACAAGAACCTGGCTCTCTTCTTGCGCTCCTCGTAAGTATACATGTCGAATCCTTGACATGGGAGTTTAGACGAGAAAGCTACGATTATGAGCTGGGGATTTTCCCCCGAGCGCTTCAGGTGCGCCGCGATGAAGACGGGATCAGAGATCAGAGAACGCCATGATCTGCACACGGATTTACACTTCACCAGGCTCTTCACGGGGAGTCTGGTGAGTATCTCAAAGGCGATGAATTCGGTCATACCATCATATTGCTCATATTCTTCGCGTGTCTTCCTTCTTTTGATCTGAGGTTTTAGCTCAATACCCATGATGCTATTTTTTTTTCCTTAATCAATGGCAGAGTTGAAGAACTATGAGAAGTAGTTTGATGATGCAGGACATCAATATATAGACAGCTGGGCCCAGACCTTCCTAGTTCGAGTAGTAATCTATTAGATTTCTGAAATTATAAAAAATAAAATAAAATAAAATCTAACATATTGCAACAAAAAAAATTTTGAGCCCTGTATTAAAAAAAAAAAACTCATATGACCAATCTAATTCTACTCCTACCCAGATTTGGATGCCGGTCTAGTACGCTTTTGATTCCTTATGCCTGCACGGCTCTCTCTCAAAACATAATAAAAAAAAAACAAAAAGATGAATTTTATCAATAATCTAATTGTAACCTTACTCGAATAAATATGGATGCGGTTCTGATATGCTTTTGGTCCTAGTACTAAAATTAAACGAAAAAAAAGAGGAATTTTATCAAGAAAGATTGAATCTTTACCGGTGAGGGAGGTGGGAAGGAAGGATATCGATAAGAAAATTGGAAAACCCTTGGGTGAGGCGCACAGCTAAACCTCCAACGCCGACCGCGGATAGCAGGGGGAAGGGTTTTTTCCGTAACATTTGTCCCTCTTAATCTTAATGTTTATAGCTACTCCCTAAGGCCCCGTTTGGCAAAGGGTTAAGGAAAAGGGGTTAAAAAGAAGGATTAATGTACTTAACCCATTTGATAATCTGAGGTACCGTTTGGCAAAGGGTTAAGTGAGGGGTTAAGGAGACTTAACCCCTTCTTAACCCGCCAAATATAAAAAATCTATACAAGGGTTAAAGTGAGTTAACCCTCCATAATTTGCCAAACATAAAAAATATAGAAGGTTAAGCTAACCCCTTTAGAGGGATTAAAATGAGTTAACCCCTCAAAATGAGGGGTTTACTAATACTCCTATTTAGAAGGATTAAGAGTTAACCCTTCTAATTATAAAGAAAATAGTCAAAATTATTGTTATTCCCAAACACTAAAACTGATCACAAGGACTAAAATAAAACTTATATAACGGGTTAATAATTTAGTCCTTCGGATTATCGAATGTGCTAACTATGTTAATCCTTCTCCTTAATCCCTCTTCATTAACCCTTTGCCAAACGGAGCCTAAGGTGCCGTTTGGCAAAAGGTTAAGTGAGGGGTTAAGGAAACTTAACCCCTTCTTAACCCGTCAAACACAAAAAATCTATATAAGGGTTAAAGTAAGTTAAACCTTTATAATTTGCCAAACATAAAAAATATAGAAGGGTTAAGCTAACCCCTCTAGAGGGGTTAAAATGAGTTAAACCCCTCAAAATGAGGGGTTTACTAATACTCCTATTTAGAAGGATTAAGAGTTAACCCTTCTAATTATCATTTTCTTTTCATGACACAAAGAGCAAATTTTCTTAAAATGATTTACTGACTCATCCCAGTGAAACGTATGCACCCAGTACCTATGGCAAAATAGGAAGAAAAAAAAAATCAGTATAAGTGGTGTAAATTTTGTAGTTGTTTTACTTTTCAATAAATATTAAGAGACCAACAACCTATGCTTGGTTGTTAACATAAATTCACGGACAACTTTGTCCTATAAAAGATGTGATTAAAATATGAAGATGTATGCTCATGGGACATCTGAAAACTGGATAGCTGAAAATTCTACGCATTCGTCGAGTACATCAGAAAGTAAAACAAATGCAGAGGTTAAGGTTACCTGTAAGATATGCGTGAAGTAAACCGATAAGAATAAACTCTCAACACTCGATCTAAATACAATTGTCCCTCCCATTAAACACCAAGACCTGGCAACACAATGATACGAACATACTATGTATACGACAATAGAGCATCAATCCAGGCATCACCCTTAAATGAAAAAAACTTGAATAAGGTATAACCTTAGGCAGTTTCTAACACATTCAGCAGCCTCTACAATAATAGTCTAGGACTAACGGAGAAGGGAAAAGCCGAACCTTTGAGGGGTTCATAGACTACTGCCTTAAATAAGAGAGTATCAAAGGATGTCGCAACAACACTCACAAACACTTTGACTAAACACAAGTTTTGATCTAAGAAAATTAATTTCAAGAAGCGTAAATAGCGTATGTCAAGATACAAAGTTACGTTCTTTGTCATATGTTAATAAGGCAACGCCGCAAAGGTGGTAGGAAAAGAAAAGAAATTACCAGCTCTATCTCTGGCTTCAGCTTTTGGGAATGATTGGCACCAAGCTTTCCACAAAATTCACTACTGCGAAGGGCGCCTTCTCGTGAAAGAAGTAATACCCACATTTCTGCTTATTGTAGAAAGCCAAATCCTCCGCTATGCAAACGACAGGATCAAACACTTTACTCTTAGGATCATAATACTCCAACCTATGAACTTTATCGTGCATCTCGAGCAGAAGCTTTCCATGACGAAACGCGAGAGGCACCAGAAGTCTCGGGGGCTGCAGCAGATCGAAACTAAAGGTAGGAATCCACACGTGCTCAATAAAGTCCCTGGAAATCCACATTTTACATTTCCTCCTATCCTGTGACTGATGAACGAAGCACGGATTGCCTTCAAGATTCACGATGCTCATATTGTCATAGTCAATGGGACACTGGTAAGGGGGGTCGACCACTCTAAACTTTTCGTCTCTGAGATTGAAGCAAAGGAAGGCTTTTGGAGGGCCCTGATGGAGGCTGTTATCGATGATGAAATAGATAACTTCGCCCACAGACCGGGGACAAACACGGCTTCCAGTTGGATAGGGCGGGTCCTCGGCGATTCTCCACGAAGTATCGAATCCTAGAGTAAGGACTTCAAAGCCAAGGTCGTAGGTATTTAAGTGATAATTGAGATACCTGTAGATATACCGGGCTACCTTGTAAAGGTTTATACCTTCAACATAGCCTAAAGAAGCCGTATACTTAAATTCCAGGATCCAAGTAACATCACCACGCTTGTCTGAAGGTAAGGCTACCAACTCTTTAGTACTGGGGTTGCACACAACCAGCTGCTTCATGGTGTTGAGCAGCACCAGACCGTTGCAGTGTTGAGGAAGAAACGTATGCTCCTGGAATGAAACAAAGTCTTCCCCGAACAAGAACCTGGCTCTCTTCTTGCGCTCCTCGTAAGTATACATGTCGAATCCTCGACGTGGGAGTTTAGGCGAGAAAGCTACGATTATGAGCTGGGGATTTTCCCCCGAGCGCTTCAGGTGCGCCGCGATGAAGACGGGATCAGAGATCAGAGAACGCCATGATCTGCACACGGATTTACACTTCACCAGGCTCTTCACGGGGAGTCTGGTGAGTATCTCAAAGGCCATGAATTCGGTCATACCATCATATTGCTCATATTCTTCGCGCGTCTTCCTTCTTTTGATCTGAGATTTTAGCTCAACACCCATGATGCTATTTTTTTTCTTAACCAATGGCAGAGTTGAAGAACTATGATCCATCCTTAATTCTGTCACAGGAGAAGCAGTTTGATGCAGGACATAAATATATAGACAGTTGGGCCCAGACCTTCCTAGTTCGGGTAGTAACTTATTAGATTTCTGAAATTAAAATAAATAAATCTAACATATTGCAACAAAAAATTTGAGCGCTGTATTAAAAAAGAATTACTCATATGACTAATCTGATTCTACTCCTACTCAGATTTTGGATGCTGGTCTAGTACGCTTTTGATTCCTCATGCCTGCACGGCTCTCAAAACATAATAATAATAATAATAATAGGGACATCTTTATCAACAATCTAATTGCCACCTTACTCGAATACATATGGATGCGGTTTTGATCCCTAGTACTAAAATTAAACGAAAAAAAGAGGAATTTTATCAAGAAAGATAGAATCTTTACCGCTGAGGGAGGTGGGAAGGAAGGATATCGATAAGAAAATTGGAAAACCCTAGGGAGAAGGGTTTTTTTCGTAACATTTGTCCCTCTTAATCCTAATATTTATAATTAGTCCCTAGGATCTTTCAAATTGCTATGGCGTCCTCTAATCCATGCACTGTTACTGTTGCTGTTGGGGAGGGATTAATTTGAAGGCTAATAAAAATCAGAGGATGTTTCAGGGACTAATTGCCAGTTAACGTCCTCTTAATCTTATAGTGTTTCTTTAACTTTAATTTGTTCATGGTACTAGATTATTTGATCAGCAACTTATTTGTGTTTTCTTACGGCATTACAGAAAGAATCTACCGGGAACACTTTATCAGATTTCGCACTAACTTTACTAGGGTGGGAGTCCGTTGGAAATTTTTGATTGTACGGAAGTTTCATGGGGCACTCTAAAACGCTTGGAAGGCTAGTAACAGCGATTAGTTAGTTAATGGTAAAAAATCCATTTTTTTCTAGATGTTTACCTTGTGCAATATAACCATATTACAAAATCTTGTTCATTACATTGGATAGCATCATAGAAGATTCGTTTCGCAGTCGATTTGCCTAAGATAATTAATGAAACGTGTCTAGATATTTTGATCGTTACTTCGCTCAAGAAAGTGAATAACAAAAACTATTATAAAAGATGCTCTCTCTCTCTCTCTCTAACTCATTTTTCTTCGTTATTATTGTGTTCTCAAGCAACAAGACTGCAGCCACTCAAGAGTAAAGACGTTCCAAGAAGTAAGTCGAAAGAATCCACCGAGTTAAACTCTCCAATGGCTACATTGACATTAACAATCTAAATTTTTGTTGACAGATTATCTGGGATCTCTCTGTCTTCTTCACAAAGAAAGGGAGAAAGGAGAAAAGAATTCAAGATAACCACATTTCTAAGGTTTTTTTTCGCTTTCTTTTAGGTTTTACATTTCAATACTTGCCAAACTTCGTAAGATTTTGTTAGCTTTCTTTAAGAATTAATCTATTTTCTCGCAGTAATTTTGGTTAAGACTGAATCTTTCTCTTTCTTGGAAAAGAAAAGGGAGAGAAAGGACAATCTAAGAGGTAAACTCCTACAATCACACCCCGCTTATGGTTTTCTTTCTTCTTTCGATTTCTTTTTTTATTTTTGAAAAATTAAGGCTAACATATGTTTATGTTTTCTTACAGTTTTTTTCAACTTTTCTTGGTAATAGATTATTTGATTAACAACTTATTTGTGTTTTCTTACAGCATGTTATTTGGGTTGAGACAATTTGTTTATTGGTAAAGCGAGGATAGAGAGAGAATCCAATAGGTGATGCAAGTTTTCTTTCTTGTTTTTTTTTTTGAAAAATTAACTGTAGTCGATGATTCTGTTGGGTGTAGTGTTTTGGTTTGAGGCTGGATCTGTTTGTTTCTTGTTAAATCAATGATAAAAAAAGAATCTAACGGGAGCACTTTCAGTCAGATTTTGCAATAACTTCATTAGGAAGGGAGGAGTCCGGTTGAAAATTTTGATAGTTCGAAAGTTTCATGGGGCACTCTAAAATTCTTGGTAGACTAGTAACAGAGATTAGTTAGTTAATGGTAAAAAACCCATTATTTCTGGATGTTTAACTTGTCCAATATAACCTTATTACAAAATCTCGGTCATTACATTGGATAGCATCACAGAAGATTCATTTCACAGTGGATTTGCCTGAGGTAATTAATGACACATGTCTAGATATTTTGATCGTTACTTCGCTCAAGAAAGTGAATAACAGAAACCATTATAAAAGCCTCTCTCTCTCTCTCTAACACGTTTTTTCTTCGTTACTATTATGTTCTCAAGCAACAAGATTGGGGCCACTCAAGAGTGGAGACGTTCCAAGAAGAAAGCTGAAAGAATCCACATAGTTAAACTCTCTGATAGCTACCTTGACATTAACAATCTAAATTTTTGCTGACATATTATCTGGGATCTCTCTGTCTTCTTCACAAAGCAAGGAAGAAAAGAGAAAAAGAATTCAAGGTAACCACATTTCTAAGGTTTTTCTTTTTTTGCTTTCTTTCTGGTTTACATTTCATTACTTGCCAAACTTTGTAAGATTTTTTTGTTTTCTTTAAGAATTAATCTATTTTCTTGCAGTAATTTTGATTAAGGCTGAATCTTTCTCTTTCTTGGCAAAGAAAAGGTATAGAAAGGACAATCTAAGAGGTAAACTCCTTCATTCACATCCCTCTTATGGTTTACTTTATTTGTTCGATTTTTATTTATTAATTTTTATTTTTGAAAAATCAAGGCTAACATATGTTTATGTTTTCTTATAGTGTTTTTTTCCAACTTTTTTCTTGATACTAGATTATTTGATTAACAACTTATTTGTGTTTTCTTACAGTATTTTGTTTGGGCTGAGACACTTTGTTTCTTGGTAAAGCGAGGATAGAGAGAGAATCCAACAGGTGATGCACATTTTCCTTCTTGTTTTTTGGAAAAATTAACTATAGTAGATGATTCTGTTTGGTGTAGTGTTTTGGTTTGAGGATGAATTTGTTTGTTTCTTGTTAAATTAAGGATAGAGAGAGAATCTAACGGGAACACTTTCAGTTAGATTTCGCACTAACTTCATTAGGGAGGGAGTCCGTTGGAAAATATTGATAGTTCGAAAGTTTCATGGGGCAATCTAAAATTCTTGGTAGGTTAGTAACAGAGATTAGTTAGTTGATGGTAAAAAACCCATTTTTTCTGGACGTTTAACTTGTGCAATATAACCTTATTACAAAATCTCGGTCACTCCATTGAATAGCATCACAGAAGATTCGTTTCACAGACGATTTCCCTGAGATAATTAATAACACGCGTCTAGATATTTTGATCGTTATTTCGCTTAAGAAAGTGAATAACAGAAACTATTATAAAAGCTGCTCTCTCTCTCTTTTAGTTTCCTCGAGAAAGTGATCAATAAGAAACTATCATAAAAGCTGCTCTCTCTCTAACACGTTTTTTCTTCGTTACTATTATGTTCTCAAGCAACAAGACTGGGGCCACTCAAGAGTGGAGACGTTCCAAGAAGTAAGCTGAAAGAATACACAGAGTTAAACTCTCTGATAGCTACCTTGACATTAACAATCTAAATTTTTGCTGACAGATTATCTGGGATCTCCCTGTCTTCTTCACAAAGCAAGGGAGAAAAGAGAAAAAAAAATTCAAGGTAACCACATTTCTAAGGTTTTTCTTTTTTTGCTTTCTTTCAGGTTTACATTTCATTACTTGCCAAACTTTGTAAGATTTGTTTTTTGTTTTCTTTAAGAATTAATCTATTTTCTTGCAGTAATTATGATTAAGGCTGAATCTTTCTCTTTCTTGCAAAGAAAAGGGAGAGAGGACAATCTAAGAGGTAAACTGCTTCCATCACATCCCGCTTATGGTTTTTTTTCTTCTTTCAATTTCTTATTATTAATTTTTATTTTTAAAAAATCAAGGCTAACATATGTTTATGTTTTCTTATAGTGTTTTTTTTTCAACTTTTTTCTTGATACTAGATTATTTGATTAACAACTTATTTGTGTTTTCTTACAGTATTTTGTTTGGGCTGAGACACTTTGTTTCTTGGTAAAGCGAGGATGGAGAGAGAATCCAACAGGTGATGTGTGTTTTCTTTCTTGTTTTTATGGAAAAATTAACAATAGTAGATGATTCTGTTTGGTGAGTGTTTTGGTTTGAGGATGGATTTGTTTGTTTCTTGTTAAATTAAGGATAGAGAGATAATCTAACGGGAACACTTTCAGTTAGATTTCGCACTAACTTCATTAAGGAGGGAGTCCGTTGGAAAATTTTGATAGTTCAAAAGTTTCACGGGGCAATCTAAAATTCTTGGTAGGCTAGTAACAGAGATTAGTTAGTTGATGGTAAAAAAGCCATTTTTTCTGGACGTTTAACTTGTGCAATATAACCTTATTACAAAATCTCGGTCACTTCATTGAATAGCATCACAGAGGATTCGTTTCGCAGACGATTTCCCTGAGATAATTAATAACACGTGTCTAGATATTTTAATCGCTACTTCGCTAAAGGAAGTGAATAACAGAAACTATTATAAAAGCTCTCTCTCTCTCTCTCTCTCTCTCTCTCTCTCTCTCTTTCTGTTTCCTCAAGAAAGTGATCAATAAGAAACAATCATAAAAGTTGTTCTTTCTCTAATACGTTTTTTCTTCGTTACTATTATGTTCTCAAGCAACAAGACTGGGGCCACTGAAGAGTGGAGACGTTCCAAGAAGTAAGCTAAAAGAATCCACAGAGTTAAACTCTCTGATAGATACCTTGACATTAACAATATAAATTTTTGCTGACAGATTATCTGAGATCTCTCTGTCTTCTTCACAACGCAAGGGAGAAAAGAGAAAAAGAATTCAAGGTAACCACATTTCTGAGGTATTTCTTTTTTTGCTTTCTTTCAGGTTTACATTTCATTACTTGTCAAACTTTGTAAGATTTTTTTTGTTTTCTTTAAGAATTAATCTATTTTCTTGAAGTAATTTTGATTATGGCTGAACCTTTCTCTTTCTTGGCAAAGAAAAGGGAGAGAAAGGAGAATCTAAGAGGTAAACTGCTTCAATCACATCCCGCTTATGGTTTTCTTTCTTCTTTGGATTTCTTTTTATTTATTTTTATTTTTGAAAAATCAAGGCTAACATATGTTTATGTTTTCTTATAGTGTTTTTTTCCAACTTTTTTTCCTGATACAATATTATTTGAATAACAACTTATTTGTGTTTTCTTATAGTATTTTGTTTTGACAGAGACACTTTGTTTCTTTGTAAAGCGAGGATAGAGAGAGAATCCAACAGGTGATGCGCGTTTTCTTTCTTGTTTTTTTGGAAAAATTAACTATAGTAGATAATTCTGTTTGGTGTAGTGTTTTGGTTTGAGGACAGATTTGTTTGTTGCTTTTTAAATTAAGGATAGAGAGAGAATCTAACAAGAACACTTTTAGTTAGATTTCGCACTAACTTCATTAGGGAGGGAGTCCATTGGAAAATTTTCATAGTTC